TCTTCATGCTGAAAGAAAGATATAATGCAACACATTTTTGGGAGACTGAGCATACATTTACTGTGCCAGGTCCTATCTACTGCATCCTTCAGCATGTTCCAAGGAAAGCATGCAAAGTATTTTAACTGTGCTGTACGCCACATAACTCAGCTTCTTAACTGCTTAGAGTGACTTGTACTTCTATAGAGGGTATAAAAACTATATATTTTTTCATTCTTTTGATAAACCAGTGGGACAGTGTCATTGATATCATTTATTGTATCTGGTTTCAAGCTGAGACTGCTTCAAGGTGGCGTGTCATCAGGGGTTTCAGTGGTTCTTCCTGTAGGGAAGATTCCCAGCAAACTGGTTTTTGTACTGATGAAAGAGGACTTCAGCCCTGCTGGAGTGACGTGCTGCTCCTTCCCAGAACAGCGTTTGGAAAATTTCACTTGTATAAAATTGAAGTTGTTTCTTAGTTCAAACGTCCTGTCTCATTTCTTGCTTCCAAGAAAAAAAATCATTGAAAAATAAAGACTGTGAAGAAGAGCAAGTGGGTATTCTGTAGACTTAAAAGAAAGCATTACTTACAGGTTGTAGCGTTTTCACAAACTTTGTGACTTCCCCAACATTGAATACCGTTTGCTTTAGACTCCTTTGGCCTGGAGTAAAGGACTTCACGTTAATGTGCTCTCTCTTTCTTCTCCATTTTTATCCCATGTTACTGATTCATTTTGAGTTTATAAAATATACCTGAGAAACGTAGAGATAAGGGAACATTAAATTTTTCCAAAGCAGAGATAATGTAAGAGAAAAGAATTGCTGTTTATAATCTTGAGAAGTGAAGAGGAAAGATGATCTGCTGTTGTCTTCTGCTTTGCTGTTTCCTTAAAGATCATATACCTATGCTATCCATCTGTTTTTTTCTCCTACATTTGGTGGTTATTTATAGACTGTTCTAAAACTGGTAGGACTGATGAAATGGCTATCCTTATCCCTTGAACTGTGAGTTTCTATGCCATGATGTGGGTTTTCTTGCTGAAGTGTATTAGGAAGGAAATATAGTCCAGTTATTTATCATTAAAGTTATTTTATTTGGTGGAGTTTTAGACCATCACTCTAGAATCCACCTTTAATAAAAACTTCTTTTAGAGAGGAGAATTGAAGGGAGAAAGCAATTTTATTTCACAGATATGTAGGTAATTTTTCTACATAAAAAATATTAATACAGAGAAAAAGTAAGTGTAAATATACATTCAGTATATAAGAACAAAATTATGTCCAGTGTTTAGACACTAGCATTAACAATTGGTAGAGAGAAATGAAGTCCCTATAGGAAAAATCCCTCAGCAACACCTGTCTTTTAATAAAGCTTTGATTAGTATTTTTTTTGATTTCACTTGTTATGAAGAAACTTGCAATGCTTTGATAGTGAACATACTGTGAGGCGTATTGGCTAGCCTTTGCCAGCATGCATTTTCAGAGTTTTATAGTCTATTTGCTGAGTAGCCATTGCTAAACGATTTAATTTAACATAACTGCTCTTGGGATTAATCTGTTTTTGCAGTTTCCATATTACATTATGGGATGCCTGTAAAAGTTAATGTTAAAGTATCCTTGTCAAATGTCTAGATTTCTTTTTTCTTTGTCGTCTCAGGTAGGACTTTCAATTCCTGTTAGCATTTCACATCACTTTGCTTTCCTGTGCCTTCCTTGTTGTTGGCAAAGGGTTTAAAATCCCTGGGACTGATGGATGTGAAGAGTAATGGCAAACAGCTTGACATACAAGCGGCAACAGGTGAAAACTGCATATCCTGAGGATTGATACTGGGGCCCATATTATTCAATATCTTCATCAATAATGTGGACAAAAATGTGGGCAAAGACACAAAACGCACATTCTGCAAACCTGTTGATGATAGTCAATTGAGAGTGGCTGGCACACTGCTTGAGCAGCTTCAGTCCAGACAGGTCTTGAAAACATTGAGCTGAACCAACAGAAACTTCGCTGAGTTTCTGCATCTGGAACAGGGTAACCCCATGCATCGGTACAGGCTGGGTGCCAGCTGGCTGGGTAGCAGCCCTTCTGGGAGGAGCCCACGGGGCAATAATGAACATCAAGTTGAACATGAGTCAACGGTTTCGTCTCATCATATTAAAGTGAAACTCAGAGTTTTGCGGAAATGTGGCTGGCAGACTGAAGGAAGTTGTCACACCCTTCTACTTGGTGCTGTTGGGCCAAATCTGGAACACTTCATCCAGTTTTGGGTCCTTCAGTTCCATGGAAATGCTGAGAAACTGGAAGGGTTTAGCTGAAAGCTAATGAGAGCTGAGGGCCATGGAGCACATGGCCTATCAGAAGAGGCTGAGATAGATTACTTCATTTTACTAGTCTGCAGAAAAAGAGGGTGAGACTGAGATTAGACGGCAGCCTACTGAAGGACAGTTACAATGATGACAGAACCAAACTTTTCTTGGTAGTGCTGGGTAGAATAAAGAAGGTCAAGAACCACACATTGTTGCTTGGTGGTTTCAAGTAGGACATTAGAAATCTTTTTGAATAGTACAACACTGGAGCAGGTTACCCAGAGGAGACTAAAATCTCTGTCCTTGGAGGTTTTCAAGACTTGGCTAGAGAAAGCCATAGCTGACTTCATCTCGTGTTGGCAAGTCCTCTTTCAAGGTGGAGGTTGGGCTAGAGACCTCTAGAGGGAGGGTTGTTGGAGCGGGATGTCAAGCAACAGTTCTGGTAGCCTGCACATTTCCGTGTAAAACTTCAGGAAAAAATTGTCATATAGAACCTCAGTCTGTTTGATTACCCACCTAAAGTTAAATTATTTCAATATTACCTGGGAGTAGCCTACTAGTAATTTCTGACTGGCAAAGACACAAATGATTACAGAATTTAAACCATATTGCATACAAAGTTAGCATTTTAAATTATTTGAAGAAGTTGCGTCTTAATATGTGAAAAATTTAAACCCAAATTAGATGCCTTTCTAAAACATACAGTAAAATTACACAAGAAATTCTGGGACTGCCATTTCGAGGATGTATTATGTGAGAAGTGTCCTGTGCTATGCAGAAGTTCAGATTAGATGATCCTGGTGGTGCCTTCTGTCTTCAAAAGAAGGACTGAATTAATTCAGAGGCAAAACAGATCTCTGTTATGGTGATGCTAGATGAGGGTTGAAGTCACGGCATGTATTGTGAAAATTATTTTTAAAGGGTACAAAATCAATCTAGATTTACTTAATGTTGTGATGGAATGGATTAATGGAAAGTTTTTACTTATCTGAAATGGCAGCTCCACAAAATGTAGTCAAGATGCCAGAAGTGTACATAGGAGAACTGAAAAATGCCTGAGTAGAACAGTTTCTATCCTGGTGACTAAACCTGAAAATACAGTAGAAATGTTTGACTGGGTAGAGAAGAAAAGAAAGAAGGAATTTCCAGGTATGTTCCTGGACAGTTAGTGGTTTAGTTTACAACTAAATTGAACATGTTGACTGTCAACAAGATCTCATAAGTGATGGATTGGACTGTCATAGAAGAGTAACCTAAAAGGCAAAGAGTAGAGGAGGAACCTGTGTATCTGAAGTTTTTGTTTTGTTTTGTTATTTTCCTTATTTGAGAAACTGCTAAGGCCAAATGCTGGTTGTGTAGCCTGTCTCCAAATACACTTCTCAACCGCCCTTTCATTTTCCATTAAATCAACTTAAAGAACTCTGCAATTTCAATTTCATCAGATATAAAAGTGCTCGGGGTGTCAGAGCAAAATTTCTGTGTATGTGGTGTTTTTTTTCCTTGTTGTTTTTTTTCTCCTTGATGCAGACACACCTGTACTTTACCTTCTTTGTGCATGGTTTCTTGAGCTGGATGGACTCACTGCAGAAGTGAAGTCTCGGTGCCATCAGCCACTCCTGATACCACTTTGTATCCTTAGTTATGGTTCTGTTCTTACCAGGTGTAATGATTTATTCACTGACTTATTCTTTGGAAGATAGTTACATTCCTTTCCTTGATCTTTAAGACAATCTACTTTCTTTCTTTGAGAGACTTGAGTAAGCTGTCTGCTTCTGAAGAGGATAATCATTCTCTTTAATCTAACTGCTGCTTCCTGCCTCTGATACGTGAAGGATTTAATCTCTTCTAGAGACCAAATCCTTACCTTGTGAAAATCACCCCTGTTCTGTTGAAGCAAACAAAATTCAAGCACATGCTCAAACCTAACCATGAACTTCAGTGGTGCTTCAACCATGATTCAATTATGGCATCGTGTATACGTGGAGGGGAGGATGTGCATATTGTTTATGGTTTCAGATCTTGACTTTTTTGAGATGTACTCTTCTGGTTGACACTGGACTCTGTGTGAAATACACTCTTAAATACATTTTTTCTTGAACGAGCTCTAATTCAGTCTAATTTCCTTTCTTTTCCTGTAGGTGTTCAGAAAGTATAAAAAATCAGGCGTAGATTAACAGTGGGGAAAAAAAAATATGAACCAAACACATTTACCACTTAGTTATTACTGTGTATTGAGTGTGGGAAGTGGCATGTCAATGCTCCGCTCTCTCTGGTACATCCTCGATGTGATGGAATTGATTCATTTCACCACTGCTCATGCTCCCATTTTAAAAGCACACAGGTTCAGTTCTGCTCAGTGCAGAACACATTGGCCTCGCTCCGGGAGAACGTTTTACTTGTCTGGTCAACTGCGAACACGTAGGCAGACTGCTCACATGCTTCAGTTTAAATGTGCCCTCGTCACCGTCGTAGGTGAGCGGTGTGCAAGCTCATTTTTAAAATAAGAATCAACACGCTCCTCTGGGAAATCGAACTCGTGAGGCTAATAACCAATCTGCGGTTTATATTTCTGCATCTTGACTCCTTCAGTGCATATTTAATTTGGGAGGGTTAGTTCAAGGTTATGGCAGGGGCGCTTTGGTGCTATAATTTCTGTTGTGGAATGCAGTTCTTGTTGGAATAAGGTACATCATGTGCGTCTACTCTTTTGTCAGAGAGCAGAAAGACAAACACGAATGATGGACTCGGTCCAGTATGCAGAATTCTGTGAAAGTCGGCAACTGAGTTTTTGTAAGTATTATAATGGCTGCACTGTATTAAGATGTTCAATTATTATTTCATGTAATAGAGAACACAGCAGAACCTCATGTTTTTTGAAAGCACTTTTGTTTCGTCCGCAGTAATCAAACTTTAAATTCTTTGTCTACGTAGCTCCTGGGAACAGTTAATTTAGCATAGTTTCAGGCTGTCAGGCGGAGTGTTTTATTTGAATATTTACCAAGCTTCCTATATGCTCAAATACTATGCTGGTGGGGACGACAGGAAAGATAGAACTGGTAAAGAGTTAATGGATTAAAAGAACCATACTTGCCTGAAGTCTGTCATGGCTGCGTTACAGTCAACATATTAGTAAAGTTTCATGGTTGCAGGTTTTTCGGAATGCATCTAAAATTAGAGAAGAGCAGCAAGTTTTGCTTTTATTTCCCTATCCGCAGAGACACAAAGAACTCACTAAAGAGTCTTTTCTATTTTAAGCTGTAAGCTCCTGCTGTGGAATTTATTCAACATTAGCCAAATTCATCAGTATACGCCATTCCAACACTAATAACATGATGACAGAATTAGGGCTTTACTAGCACTGAAAACCAACTTACTAGAAGTACTTGTGGGCCACAACTATAATGAGCAGTAAATTAATGGGCTTGATCATGTAGCAAAACATCATTACAGAGGCGGTTAAGTGATGACTAAGGTTTTGGGTCAAATGTCAGAGAAAGTAAGGTGACGGAGCCAGTAAAAATCATGACAAAACAGCACATGATCCTACAACACAGACTTGAACACAATGGTGTCTTTAAACGAGAGACCTTATCTTGTTCTTCCTTTTAAATTCAAAGAAAGAGTGACTCATTTATGGCAAATAAATGACACATTTGAAATACTGTTCTGCATCAGCAAATGTCAGCAAATGTAGGAAAACATGTTTTGTAAGCATTTCTTTTCCTAATTCAATATGTTTGGTAAGCTTAGTTATAATTTGGCATCACACATCTGTGAGCCATTAGATAAATGATACTTCAGATTAGGGTGACTTTAGGAAATTAGAGGTTTGTGATAAAGTCATTTTTAAAACCCCAAAATTATAATCTGGAGACAGAACAAATAGAAATTTAAATTTGTGAAATAAAATTGAATGTTGCTGACCAGGGGATTGTGATCTATAAAAATATCTCAGTGGTATTTTCACAGTGTTTATAAGTGACTGTGCCTATACAGCTCTTTTTCATTGACATTTAATGTCATTAAAGAATAAGAGAATTACAGTGCTTAAAAAATACTAGCAAGAGAGCCTCATGAACAAATTCAATTGCATAATATGAACTCAACTAGACAGAACATACTAAAGGCCATGCGGACCTTTGTTCAAAACTGACACAAAGGCTATTTTTTGACTTAATTCCATTTTTACTAAAATAAAAGTATTGCTATGTTTAAAGTAGTAAACCCTTTTTATTGTAATATAAACTGGTGAAAACTGCGTTACAAGAGAATAAACCTGGAAGGGACTTCAAGAAGCCTGTTCTACCTATATATATATATATTCATACTTACAGCTCAACATATTTCTATGCAGTTTTAAAGACAGGTGAAAGAAAAGGCATATCAAAGGATCAAGTACTACAGGGTTACAAATTTAAATTCTAGGGATGTTTTGTGGTCCTGCTGTCACCTTCACACTTTTTCTCTTGCCTTTTTTTTCTTTTTTTTTTTTTTTTTTTGGCTTCAGCAATGCTGTGTAGCTTTTTCACTCCTAAATGGCTAAAAACTAGCCATTATTTACATCTGCTTTCTGTTTAATACCTGACTTCTCTTTAGCTTTTTAGTCCTCCTTGAAGACTGTCTGTGAAAGAGCTGTTTCAAATGATTCTCCCACCTTATATGTATTTCATTTTGGCTGTCCTGTCTTCACAAACAGCCCTCATTAAGACCTCTATATTACCAGCTCCGTCTGTCTAAGTCTCCATAGCTTTCTGTGATCAGCTTGTCCACCACTGACCTAAGTAAGGTCATCCTTTATTTTTCCTCCTTTTACTTTCTCAACAAATATCATGTTTCTTTGTCCCATATTTTTCTCTGTACTTTCCCCTATGTGAGCTCATCCATTAGCGGTGTGAAGTTCTCGTATGAATGTTGATCACTTGCAGATCCACATCTATCCTTATTTCTACATATCCAAAGCACATGTTAAAAACACTCATCTACAAATCATTTTGGCTAGCTTGTCAGCGCCTAGTCCCTGCATGGTTAACACAAGGACTTCCTAGTTCTTCTGTCCTTCATTTTTCTTCGCTATTGTTAATACAATTATATCATTTTATCTGGACTCAGATTTGTGCTGATTTCTTCTAGTGCTTTCTCTCATTCATCAAAGATGTGATGCAATCGTATTATTTCTTTCACAGTAATATGTTCAAAATCAGGTTTGTCCCGTCTGCAGTCCTTCGAGGTAGACCCTTCCTTGTTCTGAAATCTCCCGTGTGATTGATTAACTATGTGTTTTATTCTTTACTGCATGCTGCTTATGGGTCTCCAAAATGTCGTCTGTGAAATAAGTGTCTTTTCCTCACTAGTTTGATAATTCCTTCCTTGGCAAATCAAATCCCATTCACACTCATTGTTTCACATTTGCAGTATTTTCTAGGACTGGAAAAAATGCGTTATTTTGGCCTACCTGTTGTTAACTTTTCATTTTTTTCCCTTATAATTTGAACTGACAGCAAAGAAAGCATCCAAGTTTCGTGACTGGTTGGACTGTAGCAGTATGGAAATAAAGCCAAATGCAGTTGCAATGGAGATTTTGGCATATTTAGCATATGAGACCGTGGCACAGGTAAGGGAGTATACTGACTGACCTCTAGTTAAACAAAATGAATTAATTACTCTCGGATTTCAGAGTGTGGCCAGTAGGTCGAGGGAGGTCATTCTCCCCCTCTACTCGGCACTGGCGAGGCCACAACTGGAATACTGTGTCCAGTTTTGGGCTCCCCAGTTCAAGAAGGACAGGGAACTGCTGGAGAGAGTCCAGCGGAGGGCAACCAAGATGATTGAGGGATTGGAGCATCTCCCATGTGAGGAAAGGCTGAGAGAGCTGGGTCTCTAGCCTGGAGAAGAGAAGGCTGAGGGGAGACCTTATTATGGCATACAAGTATCTAAAGGGAGGGTTGAAGGAGGATGGAGCCAGACTCTTTTCAGTGGTTCCCAGTGACAGGACGAGGGGCAATGGGCACAAGTTGGAACATAGGAAGTTCCGTTCCAACACACGGAAAAACTTCTTTATGGTTTGGGTGACAGAGCAGTGGCACAGGCTGCCCAGGGAGGGTGTGGAGTCTCCTTCTCTGGAGATTTTCAAGACCCGCCTGGATGCAGTCCTGAGTGATGTGCTCTGGGCAATCCTGCTTTAGCAGGGGAGTTGGACTAGATGATCTCTAGAGGTCCCTTCCAACTCTGAAGATTCTGTGATTCTGTGATGTACTTCAGCCTCAGGTGGCTTGTAAGCCCCTTCAGAACCATGCAGCCACTGCTTCAGCTAATGAAGCTAATTGGATTCCTGTCTGTCTTTCAATTTACTGTGGGACAGATGCTTGCTATACCGTCTTCATCCATCTGATACACAAATAGGAATGTTTTATAATGGTTACAGAGGAGAGTGGAGTCCAGCACGAACTTTATTCAAGTCCAAATTGAAACCACATACTTTGCTATGTGACCTTTGGCAGTGTGCTGAGGCTCATTCAACCCCATTGCACAATTGGATTAAAAAGCAGGATTTCCTGGAAAACAAAATGTTACCTTAGTGCCAAGCTGAGCCCTCTTGGGTAGATAGATTACTCCGTATATTTACAGAAGTAGAAAAGAAAGGTTCCTTAGGCTGAAATATCTATGAATAATTTTGTTTTCAACTGGGAAACACTAAGAATAGTCTGCCTCAACCCACAACTCCTCTCACTCTTCATTGTTACGACGGCATTCATCATAAGTACCATGTCAGTAAACCTACCTGCTTATCGGCTGGTTTTACCCTTCCAGTTGGTGGACTTGGCCCTTTTGGTTAAGCAGGACATGGCTCCCAAAGCTGGTGACCCCTTCAGTCATGCCATATCTGCCACCTTCATACAGTATCACAACTCTACTGAGGTAAATCTTGCTTTTTCCCATATTACTTCATTTTCTGTTTTACTTTTACATGTATTTGGTAGCTTGTTGCTTTCAGATGTTATTGAATCTGGTATTGATACAGACTTCTGTTATGGAGTTTATTAACATTGAAGTTACGGATTTAGATGGAAAGATGTTAAATTCTAGCTCCAAATGTTGAATTCTTAGCAGCATCTGTATATTTAAATGTAAATCCTCTTTTCTTGCATGGAAATTCCTTTTCTCTGTATTGAAGGCTCTCTCTATTGCAGATTTGGAGGTTAAAATTGTCAACAGTGGCAAGTGCGTAAGTGCTGTATTGCGTGCATTGCTGTAATAGAGATGTTTTAGTAACCTCTAGAATGAGCAAACTGAATTTGGCATTGCATCTCTTCTAACAATAATTCTAGGAAGGCGTTTGTTTTTTTTTTTGGTGATTTGATTGTATAATTGCTATTTGCCATCTTGCTTTCATAGCCACATCTCTTAGGGCAATCTACGAGTGTGAAGACCAGTCTTGACTCTCCTGAAAACACACCACCTCCTACACCCACCCCCCCAGCAGGACAGCAACATCTGGGGAAAACCCCATCAGGAGCCCTGGGGAATGGTGGAATTGGACAGGACTCTACCAAATCCAAACAAAGGAAAAGAAAAAAGGTATTTGGTGCACAATCCTGAAAACAACAACAAAAAATCTTCAGGAAATAACCTGTCTCATTTTAAATATTAAATTTAAACTATATCACATATTAACTACCAATGTTATTGTAGGGCCAAATGAGTTTGGTGTTCTTTCTATCACAACTTGGCTAAAGCTTCGCAGTCATGTGTGCAAACTGAATTTTGTTGAGGTAACAACTGCTGCTTCTAAGATGAGCTGCTCCTCTACAGCCACAGCGGTAGACACCACCCCAAATAATCATCCCCTTCTCTGACAGTGGCAGCTAGCGTAGGTTTTGAGGGTCAAAACATAAGCAAAGTAGGCAAAGAGGTGGTTGTGATTTTCCTGCACCCAGCAGCATTAGGCATCTGCCTTCTTTGCCTAGAACAACTTTGCCTGACCTGCTTTATTTTTATGCTAGTTGGTTGCATTCAATCTAAATATTTGTTTACTGTGCATAAAATATGGACATCGTGTATTCAGAGTGTGAAATGTAAATATTACAATTCCTGTCTTCTGTTGCAAATGCTTGGTATTCTATCCGAGATGGATACACATACCTTAAAACCACAAGGGAAATAGATTTGATTAAATAAACTGGGTAGGAAGCACTGTGTTAGTCACTTAGGGCTTTTTTGAAAAAAATGTGATAGCGGTACTCATTTTGCTGCAAAGCAATAGAGTGACTTGTGATTTTCTTGTGTATGTTATTGTTCTACTAAAAAAAATACACATTTTTCACAGAGTTAAACCAGTGATTTTTACGACAGACAGAAAAAGATGTATTTTCTCCTAGTGTAATTGGTGCTGTAGATCATAGAATCAGAATGGTTTAGGTTGTTGCTGCAAAGCAATAGAGTGACTTGTGATTTTCTTGTGTATGTTATTGTTCTACTAAAAAAAATACACATTTTTCACAGAGTTAAACCAGTGATTTTTACGACAGACAGAAAAAGATGTATTTTCTCCTAGTGTAATTGGTGCTGTAGATCATAGAATCAGAATGGTTTAGGTTGGAAAGGACCTTGAAGATCATCGAGTTC